ACAAAGCTGAAACTCCTCTTGCGCAGACCCACCTGGCGCTATTAAGCCAAACCAACAGTGATTCCCATCCTTACTGCGCGTCAGAACAGCTGTATAACTACGGGAACTTTGTGAGAATGATTTGTATCGCTGATACAAATATCAACTTGGGCAGCTTGTTTAAAGTCGGCTGGACCCTCCTACCAGGCACAGGTTCACCTCGAAGCCCAGCCAATGAGAAACACAGCTCTCTTTTCACCTATCTGCCAACTTTCAGCCCCAAACTTCACAAAACTTATGCCACATCATATATGAAAACACGCTGACACATAACACAGAAAACAATAGCATAAACGCGCACTAAAAACATCATGAATATTCATTGCTATCAGTCCTACCTTTGAGCCTCCTACAAACGCAAAAGCCCCCGCGAGCAGATCTTAGCATATCTCCATACTCTTAGTCCCTCTTTACTTCCCGCAGACAAGTTTTATTCTTTCTTTTTTATATAACACCTGCAACGCTTTATTTGCTTTGATTGCTATTTCCCTCCTTTATCAAGCCCTAGTTCAGTGGAGCAGAGGTTGCTCTGTCTTTTGCTGTTGTCGTCTAAACCGTTTAGTTTTGGCTGATCGGTCAAATATTGTGACAGGCAGCGGGGAGAGGCAGGACGGCCAGCCGGGGAGGGAGCGCAGGAGGCCGGCCACATCCAGTGGGCTGCATCGACGAGACGGACCATTAGCCAGGGGAAAGCCATGGCTCACAGCCCTGGTCGATCAGGTAAGCGCCGCGTGCTTTTTTCTTCTTTCCTGCAGTCGCCTCGTGCCAAACAGTGTCAGTGTTTATTTGCTGGCTGTAGAGGTGAGCCGCCTTCAGCTGAGCTAACAGCGTACAGTAGGCTTACTTTAAGCGCCGCTTGCGTGCCACGACAGCCACTTTCATAAAGCTGGCAGAAAACAGACTCTTCACAAGTGCTCGTGTTTGCTTTATGAACTATTGTACGTACAAAGCACTGTGGATTCAGCTGCGTGGCTAAGTTATTAGATTATTACTAAAGTTATGTAAACTGGGCCTGAGATGCTACTATACGCTCCCTGCAGTACATCCTGTTTCTACTACTACTACTACTACTACTACTCCTCCTACTACTACTACTACTAACAATAATAATAATAATAATAATAATAACAATAATAATAACAACAATAATAATAACAACTACAAGTTAACTGTTATTACTGAGTTGTTATTATTATTATTATTATTATTATTATTATAACAAGAGTTTTATTTATAATATTAGCGGTACTATTCAAGTATTGTAATTAATATTGTCTTATACCAGTCAGTTAATTGAAAACATAGATCACATGCTAATTCACCTTTCCATTTTGGGTGTAAATGGGAAGATCAATGAAAAACAGTTGTAATGATCTAATTAATTATGGCAAAATTAAAACCAAGTACAAAATCAATCTCTGATGGTGTCGAGGATAGAATTAAATTGATGGTCCATCTGTTCACCCTATAGACAACATGAATAGGCAATGTAAGGACGCAGCTGATATCATGGCGCTGGGGAAGCCGTCCTGCTGTTTGTCAGGAAACAGCTAAATATTTGGATACGTTACATTTGAAGAGAGTGAGGTAAAAAAAAAAAGAAGTCATTTTCCATTAACTAAGAGAGGAAAAATGATTAGTGTCGCTTGTCAGTTGGGAAATTTTTTTATATAAATTACATGAAGAAGAACAAACAACATATATTTGCATGTATAAAATAATAATAATGATAATAATAATAATAATAATAATAATTATTATTATTATTATTATTATTATTCTTAATGTATATCTAAAATTAATCAAATGTTATAGGATACATAAACAACACACGTTATTTTGACCATCTGGCAGTAATGCTGTTCAGTATGTTTCATTTTTAACGGCCACTATTTTTTGCATTTTTAACTAATTTGTTGACATAAGCACTCATAACATTTCCTCTCTATCGTAATTGTTTTATCATGATTAAATATTACAAACTCTACCAAACATGACTAAATACTACAATAAATATAGAAAATACTAAATACATTAAGCCATTTGAAAGTAAACAGTCTCTTCACGTGTTTTCCTCTACGCCAGTCCAGCAGTCTCGCTGCTGTAAGGTAAGCTATAGCAGGATGACTGAGGCTAACATGAACCGTGGCGCTGGAGTGAAATATCGATTGGTGACGTTGCCATAATAATATGAAGGTGGATGGGAAGAGGAGCTATAGGCCAGAGAGCACACAGCAAACGGATTTAGCGCTTCCTCATTGGAAGTTCATTACTGTTCACATGGTTAACTCTGCTCCTCAAACTTGGGCGGCGTACTAACACAGTAAAGACTAAAGGACAGAGATCAGGAGCTGCACCTCGCAAACTGCACCTCTCTCTCTCTCTCTCTCTCTCTCTCTCTCTCTCTCTGATAATCAGATTAATTAAGATTAGAGAAGTTTATAAAGGAAACGTTGCTGAAGGATTCATCATTCATCATAACTGCCTACCTTACTTTTGTTCCTAAATTTCACAACCGGACTAGAGAAAGCAAGCTTAACAAAAGAGAGGGAGAGAGAGAAAAAGAGAGAGAGAGAGAGAGAGAGAGAGAGAGAGAGAGAGAGAGAGAGAGAGAACAAAAACACGCATGCATAATCTGGCCACATCAGTGCTATATTTCTGCTTGGGTAAAAGTCGCAGTATCTTCTCTGTACAAAGGGCTACTCCAGTATGATCAGTTGCAATTAGTTTTCCTTCCATTTAACACGGGAAGTAACTAATACACTGAAGGGGAGTGGAGGCTGAAAGCAGGGGTCTTGCGGGGAAATAAAAGCAGCTTTAGGGGAAATGTGTAGTGGAGTGTGAAATTACAGCCCATGGTGTTACATATTGTACTAGAAGCTCCCTCCAAAAACACTAACAAAAAGAAGAATCGTCCCCAAATTTGGCCGTAAGGCACAACACAACATGGCCTCCTGTTCTTTTAGCCCAATCTACATCGGCCACAAAGCACACAGTGGCTAAATGAAAGAGCGGTTTTCAGTACAGCTAGCCAGGTTTTACACTGAATTTAGGCGTCTTATCTGGCAACCCTAGTTCAGTCTCAACATACATGTTCTTCCATACACTACTATATACACACGCGCACATTGATTTTTATATTGATGTGGCTAACGTCACACATTCATTAACATAATACTAAGACTAATGCTACTACTATTATTATTATTATTATTATTATTCATAATAATAATAATAATATGAAAAAGAAAGAGCAAATGTTAGCAACAATAACATGACAGTTGTTACAGAAGCAAATCTGACAGATCAGATGAGTTTCTGTGATACTGTTTAACAACATTATTAGCGCTAAAACGAGAAATATTTTCGATTATTTCTACTTTTCACGCAGTTCAGTATTTACAGCGCTCAAACGCAACAACTTCGCGACATGCTTTACTGCTCCACTGCTGAGAGGAAATATGTTCAAGAGTATTGAGTGACGTTAGAAATTAGACATTAGAATGATATCAAGGCCAGTTCTTTCCCGCCACTGACACCGTTTAGAAACGAATAACGGTTTAAATAGCGCGTGCTGGTGGGAGCAGGATGACAGAATGTATGAGATGGTAAAATAATAATGAATATCCAGCTGGACTCTGCAGGAAACAGGTCTGTCCTGCACAAGTTACGCAATAGTGATAATAATACAGAACTGTGATGTTCACAAAGATTGTATCATAGCTTCATGTTGTTGACAGTGTCATTTTAACAATTAAAGGTCCCAATAAAATTTAATGCAGATGGAAAAAAATGAAATAGCTAAAAATATCAAATAAAATAATTAAGTAAAACTATTTTCGAGTAGTTTGAAACACTTGCCAGCTACAGTGCGACCCCACATCACTCCTCAAACGAGGGGTCTGAGTGTGAAATAAAGCATACGAGGCAGCGCCATCTACAGAGCACAACACAGCACAACACAGCACAGCTCAGCTCAGCTCAGCATACACCTGCAGCTCAACAGCAAGGAGAAACAGCAAAATAAAGGCAGCCTGGACTGTGAAGTGCAGATCCCAGTAAAGTTGAAGCATCCCGCTGGATAGAAGCTAAGCTCACATCCCAACACCTGGCTAGAGAAAACCGAGAAAACTTAGGGGAGAGAGAGAGAGAGAGAGAGAGAGAGAGAGAGAGAGAGAGAGAGAGAGAGAAGGAGGGAGACTCTTTCTCTCTCTGAGATATCTCAACGGAAAATCAGACCTGTGGGCGCCCCAAGCCTCGACCAGTCCGTGACGTGGGACCAGTAAACCTAAATGTGGGAATATCTCCGATTAAATCCTTAAAGAGATGACGTGTGGCACAAAAACATGATTCATTTTGGGGGGAGAAAACTGGACCTGGTGTTACAACAGCTAAAGCCAGAACTCCGGTATATCAATACTACAGAAATTCACGAAGTGTACTGTTAGGCAGAGGTCAGTAATGATGGTCGTTTTAAATGCATGCAGTGCTGAAATCACAGAAGACTTTTGGCCCGTGCTCTTATTGTTTCCTTCCCCTTCTCTCTTTTAATTTCCTCGATTTCTTAACCCAAACTCCACTCATTTCCCTGTTTGCATCCCTCCCCTTCCGAAGTGTCACATGAAGAGACCTCCTCATTTGGGCTCCGGCGTTTTTTTTTTCTGCTTCCTTCGCGTTGGCGAATCACAAAGTGTTGGAATCTATTGCCTTTGTCTGACAAGTCATCCATCTCTATGCGAGGGGGATCTGAGGAGGAGGTGGGGTGGGGGGTGAGGAGGAGGAGGAGGAGGGGGGTGGCGGCGGACTGCAGCTTTTAGAAACAGACACACTGGGAAGAGGGCTTTCATTCTCAGCCCAAAGCTTCTAACAGGCACATCCCATTCCTGAAGAGAGGGGGACCCGCTCCGAGCCCTTCTCTCCGTGTCCATGCTCTTCAGCGCCCGCAGCCTCGCGCCTCTCTGCTCCTGCCTGAGCTCCAGCGCTCGCGCTGAAAAATCGAAGGATTTTACACGGCGGACGGCGGCGGCAGCCTGAGCTCCTCTGAAACATGTGGCACGCGGCGGTGCACTGAACGAGCACTTCAAGACCAATCCCGCAGCGCGAGAGCCTCTCTGTTTTTTTTCGTTTCCTCTTCTTCCCGAGACGAGTGACGGACATGCCGTACCGTCCAGCGCTGCTGCTCCATCACTGAAGGGACTGACCGGAGGCTCAGAGCTGAACTTGGCGAAGAAGTTCCCCTGTGAGCCCCCCAGGGCCTCGGACGCGCGCTGCAATTTTTGTTTTGTTTTTTTATTATTTAATTTTTTTACAACTCACGCTTAAAGCTGCATAACCGAGGCGAGACGGCGACCTCAGTCGATTATCTCTCCTTCCTTTGCTATCCAATGGATATTCACTGCAAGGCAGACCCCTTCACGGCCATGCACCGTGAGTAAACCGCTCGCGTTCTCTTCCCAATCTCTTTCACTCAGTTCTAAAACAGAAGACAGGGACTTCAGCGCTGTGTGCTGCGTAGTGTAACAGCAAACTTCATCTCGAACGCATTATGCGCATTCCACAGCGATCTCGAGCTTTCCAGAGCGAAGATTTCGAGCTTTTGCAGTTCACGAATTTCATATTTTCATAATTGCGCACAAACTAGCTGTATAAGGTTAATCATTTTAATAACCCCTGTACAGGCTGGCGTTCAGCCGCAGAGCAGTTGCAAAGATGATTTGCCATATTGACATGTATGTTGTTCTGTATTGAGCAGCAATGAATGAAGTTGTAGAAAAAGTCTATGAAATTTGGCACAAAAAAAAATAATAAAAAAATAAAATAATAATACAATTATACTGTAGCTCTGACTAGTTACTGTTTAATTTCATTTGCATTTAGTTGCTTTAAACACACTAATGTGAGCCTAATAAATTATTTTTAACCCCAGCTGTATATTTTGCGTGCATTTTAAACTGAACGCTGGAGCCTAAAATGCAAAGCAAATGACCTATGAGGCGACTAATGCAATGTAATTTAAAATAACTGTAATTACTTTTTCTTAGCCCTTTTTGCTTCTAAAAATATACATATTAATAAGTTTATACCCTTTTTTATGTAAACAAAAAACACTGAAAATTGCAGAAGCGCAGAAATAAAGCTGAAAAGGAAGGCATCACGCGCCTGGTTTTATTTTTATTTTTTATTTATTCTTTAACACACACACAAAATGTAATATATTAAAATAAAGAGCGACTCATTGAGAATGAAGTTTGTAACAAGATGATTGTCTACCAGCGGCTAATTTAAATAATTAATTCTTAATCATTTTGCAGTTGCCTTCTCTACGGCGGTAATATGAGTTATCAAAGCTCTTCTTAATTATTTACAATAATTGTGCAAGGAAAATTAAACAGCTTGAAACATAATCCGTGCGACATGTGTTTGGCTGCAATGGAATAGTAGAGGAAAATACTAGCAAACTCTGCTGTGTTATGGATAGAGTAGCGCGCGACTTTATCAGTTTCGCCGTTCAACACAAAACATGCAGTCTGCGCGCGCGCGTGCGTGTGAGGTCAATACTGTTATGAATCATTACACTCAGAGATTATGGATCCTTTACTAATGTACTTATATCAATGGAATAGTACCATGACAAAATAATACTAACAACAATAATAATAATAATAATAATAATAATAATAATAATAACAATAATAATAATAATAATAACAATAATAGAAAAACTATTGGAAATAAAAATATATTAAAAATGAATTACTTAACTGAATGAAAATATAGATTATTTGTGTTTTATGGGGAGATGTAGGCCTGTTAGTTAACTCTCTTAAATCTTTTATTACTGTTTTAAAATAAATAAATAAAATAGCTTAATAAAAATATGACTATGCCCAAACGGCACAAGTACACTGAATAACATTTAGCCAATGTTTGTGTGCAAAGTATTACAGTTTCTTTTGTGTGTATGTGTGTGTTTGTTTACTTGTTTGTTTATTTGTGTGTGTTTGATTCAGAGAGTGAGAGCGAGAGTGAGTGAGCGAGTGAGTGAGTGAGTGAGTGAGTGAGTGAGAAAGATAGAGAGGGGATGTATATGGTATGTATATAGTTAAGCTATGCTGCAGTGTTTTCTGTATGCATGTATTCTAATATATTGCTTGTGTATGTGTGTGTGTGTTATATACCATGTAGGGCATGGGGGTGTAAACCAGTTAGGCGGGGTGTTTGTGAATGGCAGACCCCTACCTGATGTGGTCAGGCAAAGGATCGTGGAGCTGGCGCATCAAGGGGTCAGACCCTGTGACATCTCCAGACAACTCCGGGTCAGCCACGGCTGTGTCAGCAAAATCCTCGGCAGGTAGGAGAGAAACAGCACGCACGCGCACACTCTCTCTCTCTCTCTTACACACATACACACACAGCTCTGTAGTTCCTTGTGCATGTATGTCCTCAAAGCATAGCTGATCGCCCAGAGCTGAAGCAGCCTGACACCCAGTCCAGCATCAGCCTCACATCAATCAGCTGCTACTACACCTGAAAAAAACACACACAGCTTCTTCTCCTTTCTCCACTCTCCTTTTTGGTGAAATGATTAGATTTAATTAATGGCGTTTACTGTTCTCAGACCAGGAGAAGAAAACTGTTTACTGGGACCGTCTTGTAGATGTATATTTGAATTTTCTGAAATATTTTTTCAGCTTTCAGAAGGATTTTATGAGGTATTTTGTTTTATACACTTGGAATGTGGGATAGAAAAGATGAGTCTTTATGTTGGTGGCATGTTTTTTAATGAGTGCATGGGACATTACAGCTGTGTATTAATTATAGCGATAAGAAATATTAGAAATATGAGAGTGACGTCAGTCATGTTAAAAGCTTTCCGATGGAAAATGTGACAGAAAAAAAAATCGAGGTGAAAAAATGCTACAGTAAAAGTGTTTAGATTTGCGTTTTTATATTATTGAGCACATTGTCTGGTAATTTTAATATGTGGACGATTGGGTCCAATGTTGGGCTTTTAAATGATATTAAAAACATTATTATCTTAGTGCTATATTTCGGCCAGTTTGGCTGAAAAATATATACTACTATTATTAATAATAATAATAATAATAATAATCAGAATAAAGCTGCGTGATCTGTTATTCTTGCTGTTCCCATGTACTAGTCTAATGTCAGCGTAATAACTTGTGTGATCCGTGTCCTGCAGATACTATGAAACCGGCAGCATTAAGCCTGGAGTTATTGGCGGGTCCAAACCTAAAGTGGCCACTCCAAAAGTAGTGGATAAAATCGCAGAGTACAAGCGGCAGAACCCCACCATGTTCGCCTGGGAGATCAGAGACAGACTGCTGGCGGAAGGAGTGTGTGACAACGACACAGTGCCAAGCGTGTCGTCTATCAACAGGTAACAGAATAAAATACTGCACTGGCAGCACCACGCGCACTAAAAGCGACATAACCGCAGGAAACACGGCAGATACCCCCCTCATCCAGCAGACCCCAATAACATCAGAACCGCAGAAAATAATTTAAAAAATCGCAACGGTTCCGGTGTAGTTCAGAAAAATCAGCTACTTTTATATGAGAAAAACGTTAAAATAAATAAATTAATAAAAAAATACTGAATTAGCGCATGGTCATAATCTCAGTAATCCAAAAATAGTCTTTTCACTGTCAAAGTTTTGGCCACTGTAAGTTCCTCTCGTGCGCTCAGACAGACAACTGAAGCCCAGAACCGACCGCTGTCAGCAGCGCGCAGTAACCATGGCGCTCAGCAGCTGAACGCTGGAAGGGAAATATTCTATACTGGTTTTCTGAATTAGAACTTCAGTGAGGGAGTAAACGAGAATTTTAATTAGGAAAGAGAATAAAAAATTCAGCAAATTAAACCCTTTAAAACTTGAATGTAATTATTTTTACTGATATTATTATGGATAATTAAAGTTATTGTTATTAATAACTAAACGTATTATTATCATTATTATTATTATTTTGTTATTATTATTATTATTATTATTATTATTATTATTATTATTGTCACATATATTAGCATTATTTTATATGTTGTGTATTGTTTTCCGCATTATCGTTAGCATGCTTAGGCTACATTTGGTGCATATATGTATATGTATAAGTGCGATGAAAGTGCGGAGAGTGGCTGTGTTCTGAAATACAGAAATCTGAAATACAGTCCACTGGGGTTTACACATTAATATGAGCCATTAAATATTCTGGATGCAAAAGAAGTAATATTAACAGCTCATCAGTTATTTCCTCCATTCTTTCTTATAAAACAAAAGAGGGCTGGAAAAAGTATCCCGGGTGAGCTATAGAAAAAAGAGCGAGGTGCAAAAGGCCTACCTGCGAGCGAGAGTAATGAACTTTGGTTAGGAGGCACTGTTCCATAGAGCTGGCCAGCAGCATTACATTTTAATGAGCTGAAGAGAGATCATGGGCCGACCCGCACTAGACATTTCCGAGAAAAAAATGGGGGAAAGAGGGGCTGAAAAAATTCATTTCATGCACCGTGACTGCTTAAAAAGGGCAATTTGAACAGGACTCAACACATGTATGTGGTAAACTCTAAATCCGCATTAATGACATTAAAAGAAGAACCGATAAACTTTGGGTTGTAATCTTGTTTACGTGAAAGAGCAAAGGGTGGGCCTTTGTTTATGTGTGGAATTAAAGTGCATTATTTCATTATCAACAGATATCAGAGGTGTTTATGTTTGGTTATACTTTAGCACTTTTAAATGTAGCCTAATAAACTTGGTGAAGGAAGTTGGTCAAGAGCTTCATGTTACTTTGTGCAGTTGTAAATGACCAGTGATGACACTGACCATAAAAAGAGGCATATCTAAAAAGATAACTGCTTTTAACAATATCTTCTCACCAAGCATTAACAAATTCCAATTGGCTGAAATATTATAAACTTATTGCCGTTCAAACAGGGCGCCTGCAAGCATTTCTCCTCTGTGGAGTCAGGAGAGGGGTGACCCTCATGTTTTGAGTGGTTAGGTAGTTGACCTCTGCTCTGCTGACATTAGAAGATGTCCCAGCTTTAAGCACATTTTCTCTGCATGAATTATTAAAGATTACACACAGGCTGGGTGGACGTAGTGTCCTCTGCTCAGTGTGGACTCACCAGCGCTCACCCACTACTGAGCACTCCCAACACCAAGATCCTAAGTGCCTTTCAATGGTATTGATTCATATTTTCATATTTCTACAGGGAATTTTCAGCACTGTGGCAAGTCATTAATTCACCCTCCCAGATTGCTTATTCAATAGGAGGAACATGGATCCCATATAAAGTCCTTGAATTTATATGGCTTGTCCAAGTCACAGGGTCAAATCATTGTTATGGTTAGATGTTAAAAATTCAAATAAAATATTGATGTGTGTTTCTTTTTTCCAGGAAAGGCTTGTAGATCTTGCCACTCTTGCCAAAGGGCAGACCAAGGAGATACTGTAGAATGGAAAAAGGCAAGCCTGAACAAAGATATCAGAAAGGCTGCTTCATAGTTAACCAGCAAGTCACGTAAAAAAGGACCAACAGTAGCACTGTAGTCATTCAGATAGTTTTACAACTCAAACTATTTCTCTGGAGCTGAAATTTTATCACTAGGGATAGTGGTGTTTATTCAGCGCATTATATGCACTCTACAACATTATATATCTATGATGAAACTGAATTTCCTGCAAAATTAGATCTCAAATATAATTTGGTATCAATTGATATCATTTGATATCATATACCTACATAAATATTGTGGGGTATAATATGAAGAATATGGCTTCAAATAATATAAATGTGTTTGCAGCACAGGATGACAGCTCCTTCTCTCAGAAGTGTGTCCCAGATTAAAGACATCAAATGTTGCAGTGGGCTTTTGTGAGGCAATGAGACACTATTGCTTTCCTGTCACATATAATTTATAGCCCTCCATTTGCATCTGTTCTCCTCTACTATTAATTCCCAACTTTTTTTTATCTTCAAGTCCCAATCAATAGGGCCTCATCCGCATTGGCAATCCTGGATGTTTGTACTAGAAAAAAAAAAATGCTCTGATCAGGAAAGTCAGCAGTCTCGGTCTACAAGCGATCTTCACTCCTTCAAAAGGCCACTTAGGAGAGGGAAGAAGGGAGATTGAGAGAGGGACATAGAAAAAGAGGAGGGAGTGAGAGAGAGAGAGGGAGAGAGAGAGAGATTATTAAAGTTGAGGCCAGGTCGAGGCAGTGAAGCCCATCATTGAGGTGAATTGATGTGATTTCATGCTTTGTTTGCAAGATCATTCAGACCAAAGTGCAATGAAGACTTTCCCCCATATCACACCTTTGAGGTAGTGGGACTTTATCATATTTCTAAAGCTGGGATCTCGTTTGATTGAATCTACTCTCTCTGGGGTAGCTCTCACTCAGCCTCAAACATCTACGCCATGATTGTCCCTAATGCCCGTGGATTGGTTATTTGTGACAGAATCAGGTATCCTTATAGAAAGGCCCCAAAACAACACAGCAGGTTTACCTGGCTGAGCGCAGTATGTAAAAGAGCTCTGCTGAGCCATACTGGCTGGTAGTATATTGACCAGACTCTGTTCACTTTTGTAGGATAATACGGACCAAAGTTCAACAGCCTTTCCATCCATCTCCTGACGGGACAGGGACCACACTAACCACAGCGGGACACACTATAGGTAAGACAGATGCTCTGCAATCTCAAGGACAAAATGCACAAGCCCTATCTATGTCTATATCATTTCTCCATAGTGAACAAAAATGAGCGCACTATCCTCACTGTTTAAACACTATGTAGAGAATGGTCTCTTAGGGTGAACCTTTTCTTGTGCTTTGTCAGTGCCTAGCACAGCCTCTCCACCCGTATCAAGTGCTTCCAATGACCCGGTGGGCTCCTACTCCATCAACGGCATCCTTGGAATCCCTCGCTCTAATGGCGAAAAGAGAAAACGTGATGATGGTAAGTGACTGGATTGTATTCCATTGCTTGTACTCCTCTTAAGCTCTTTCTCTGTGCCATTCTAGGACTGCCTGTAAATTCAAATACAGTATGTGCAGGGAGATGAAGGTGGCATTTTGATAGCACTGGAAGAAGCATTCTGTAAAAGCGTTTTGCGATATAGTAATGCAGATTGGACTATTTCATTCAGCTGGTTGTTACTCTGCTGTTTGTGGAGCTGAAGCTCCTTTGTTATTTGAATGATCTAGCATCTCAGCACCAACTAGAAAATGATCATATAGCATGAAGCATTGTGATGTGGTGGCCATTATGATAATACGTGTAAGCAAGTAGTGTGCTGAAGTTAGAGCTCAATTCCTTTGTAAATAATATAGCTAAAGTGATCAACTGCGCTTATTTTAAGGGGGGTATTTGTGAAGGTGTTGAATTAGGATAGAGCAGAAGTGTTAAAAATAATCAGTTAATTTTTCATTTGTTAAAAATATACATATTATAATGGATTGTTATCCAGCCAGGCACTTTACTGCAAGTTCACAAACAACTAAGGCTGAAGTCTTAGTTAGAGCAGCAAACAATGTTTTGCATTGAGATCTCTGGAGCTTTTGGCTGTCTTTATTTGCATACTCTAAATGGACAAACGTTGAGACCGTAGTCCACGTAACAAGTTACAAAAACAGGGAAGCAGACCTGTTCTGACCAATGTTTTCTCTCCTTTCAAAATGAGGGGGCACACAGTGCCTAAGGCCTAATAGCTGATCGGCTCTTCAAACAATCAGCTTTTGAACGCTAGTGAATAAACATTAGTGTGGCACTGGGCCGAACAAGCGCACAAACATAGTGGCAGTTGAGGGGAGGGAGGGTGAAGTGGTTGGAAATGATCTCTTAAAACATTTATCAAAGCAGGCCTACTTGCTTCTTTTATGTTTCCATCTCTTTAGTTCTCTGGAGTGGCAACCACTTGGATGGGAGGAAAATAGGATATTGTAAGTTCTGTTAGCCCACCTTCTCTTTGCTTGCTGAATCACGGGCCACTCGACTCTGATCAAGTGGCCACGTGAGGGTGTGTGTATGTGTGTGTGGAGGCCCCGGTGAAGACAGAAGTGGGGAGAGAAAGAGAGAGTACACCGTTTATGCCTAACTCTATATTTATGGAGAGATTCCTGGAACATATAAAAACTCTGAGAGAAAGAGTTTGTAGCCAATTTGCTACACTGGATGTTGTATTTGGAGCTTTTCCTCCACTGTTGCCACAGCCTGTCTCCAAAAGCAGAATATAAAAAGCAAGTCTTATGAACACTTAAACGCAAGTAGTGATAAACAGTTTGATTGCAGTATATTAAAAGTGAGTGCTGAATTAATAGGGGATGCTTTTAACTGTTCTGCAGATCATTTGGCTGTAAAACTTGAGTTCATGATTCTGCTTGCATTGATAATACTATGTCTTAAGACATTTACTATTGTTGTTGTATTGTTTATTATGACTGCTACTACCATTATGACAAGTGGGGTTAATATCGCCAGTGAATATGATATTACATGTACAATTATTAAGCTCTTTGTGTGTGTATATATTTAGCGCATGCATACTGAATGCATACGTCGTGCTGTGACCCTAATGAAGACCTCATAGCTGCTTTTTTGATCCTGTGCCAATTGTCCAAAAAGCTGTGAGTTATTTAAACTTAGCCCTTATTTCACACAGAGACATCAGGGAGGCCGCTCGACAGCCAGCGCCTGGTTTCAATTTCATAGCAGCACAGCAGCCTTGGGCTACCTGAGCCATATTTGGCTGGGCGCTGCAAGTCTCGCCTTCATTAGCTGATGACATAACTGAATATATGCTAATCCGATTTGAGAGCTAGGTAGAGTAGCATGTACAGTCAAACTCGAATGCATTAGAAGCTAAAAGTGCCTGATTTTCCAGAAAAAAAGTTGGCTTGTTTTTGAATAGTGCAAAAATGTTGCTTGTTCTTTATATGGAGCATTGGGCCGCTGTGCTTTGCTTCTAGACATGGAGGTCAGCCTGTGTATTTGATGTTGGCAGTGCCCTTTAAGAAAAAAAGGTCCCCATTACAAGAGGGATGTGGAGATAATGTAGTGTGACGCGTTATGTACACCAGGTCTTCGTAAGGGGAGCTTCAGGGACATAGGTGTCATAAGAGTCATTAATCTGCCATTTTCATGCGTTATTGCAAATTAAAAGTAGCATGTTACACTCGTCGGCTATGGGTGATGTTAAGCGTGGTGCAGAGGGGAAAAGGGGGGGAAGGTACCTCTCTAGATTAGTTCTTTGGTGGCAATAGCTCCCTGCACGTTGAACATAGTGACATTTAAGAGAATTTGCAATTCTGCAGAGAAAAGCTATTAATTCACAAATTAACATCCCCCTTCCTCTATCACGGATGCACAAGCTATTGAAAAGACAAAAGAAATAGCCTAAAGGGGAAGAGAGAGAGCTGCAGCCCTATCTGTGTAAAGATTGGTTTATATGTCTGCAAGCAGTGATACCAATTATACCAGCACACCGAGAATGCGCCTCAACCTTATTGCTGCCTTCGCAGGCCCCTCAATCCATTGCCAGATTTATTTGTGTATCTCATTATGGAAAATAGAATGCCTCTCTTGCCAAATGCATTAATGGCAAAAAAAGGAGGAATTTAAGCCTGTTTTTGGGGGGAGGCAGGGGGGGTTCACTCATCCATTAATACCTCTATACTGAGAAAGACAAATGAGTGCACTGGGTTAATTACTAGCATTTAGGCCATAACAGTATATTGATACTATATGTTGCTCCCTCCCCCTCTAAGCAGTGTTCAGTTGATTATGACCTCGCAATGGCTGATAAGCAGGTTGGTGTGACCCCACTCTCCCTACTGTCTTTCCCTCAATATAAAATCCAGGCAGGCAAACGCAACACAAGCTACTTAGGGAGTTTAAGCGTTGGAGGCTAGCCGTAATAAATTACATAAAAAAAAAAACATAGACGTGACGGTTGAATTCACTGTGGGAGTGGACAAGTGTGTGCGCTCACAGGAGAGAGAAATTAAAGTGGGTTGATTTAAAAGGCATAGCAGCTTATTTATTTGACATTAGCATGATAAAGAGATTACATCCGCACGGCCCATGCCATCATGGTCAAGGCACGCAAAAAAAAAAAGCTCTGGCACTTCTCTTTGTGGCTTGTTTGTTCATTTGACAGGCATCGCTTTGAAAGAGAGAGGGAGAGCGCGGCCCCCGCACACCTCAAATCCTCCCCCCATGTTAAAATAGTTTGGCCTGCAGCTAGAACGCTTTAGCCTGGTGCTTCCATTTCATGGCTTGTAAGATTCTATTGTGTCAATATGGATTCTACTCTAAAAAAAGGAATAGAAATGAAATACATCCAAACCAAGAAATGGATTGGCCTCAGTCTAAATCGAATAAGAACATCCCACCCGATCTCATCACGATGATGGCTCTCTGTATGAAAGAGAAAGCCCAGATTTGAGCGAGGCTGCAGAGCGGAACCGCGAGAGAAGAAGGTGTCAGGGCTCCTTATCAAAGGACACAAAAGGTCTATGCCCTGCTCTGCTGATACATCTGCATTCAAGCAGACCCGCTTCGCCGTCTGCTGCTGCTGCTGCCGCCGCCGGGCCGCTCACCAAAAGACACCTCACAAATCCACAGCATGGAAATATCTAAGGACAGGGTGGTTCGCTTGAAGAGGAATCATGTCAGAGAAAAGTCAATTATGGGCACTGATGCTGAGAATTAATGGTGCGCTGCATTACTCAGGTTTTAAAAAGGAGCAAGAGAGTGAAGTGGGGAGAGAGAGAGAGAGCAAACGAGAGAGAGTCAGAGTGAGAGAGAGAGAGAGAGAAAGAGAGAGAGAAAGGAGAGAGAGGGGAGGAAGATGCATTCATTAATTGCGTTCCAGAACGTTGCATCACATGAGGCCGATGTGCTAAATGACGGACTGGGTGTGAGTACAGTAGAGGATGTGTGATATGGGTGAGAGGAGAAACCCACTCTGACAACAAGAGAGCGGAGAGAGAGAGAGAAAGAGAGAGAGAGAGAGAGAGAGAGAGAGAGAGATCAGCTCTAATTCCTCAACCCACTGCCAGCCTGCACCCTGCTCAGCACAGCTAAATTGAATTAATAAAGCCTTTAAACATGCCGCAACATAACAGGAAATTAACAGCCCCGGTTGTGCCGCTGCTGCCACCACCACCACTAGCACCGGCGGCAGCAGCAGCACCTCTCTCTATCTCTCTCTGCTCTCCCCTCTCTCTCTCCCTCTCTCTCTCTCTCTCTCTCTCTCTCTCACTGTTTTCTCCCATTCTCGTCTCTTACGATACAGTTATTTGCTGTGCAGCCTTTCCGCTCCATGGCTTTCATAAATAGGGGATTTTTTTCTCAAACTAAGTACAGCTGACATGGAAGGTGTACTTGCCCCCTTACTCAATTCCTCTCTCTCTCTCTCTCTAACTCTCCCTCTCTCTCTTTCACTTCCTCTCTCACTGTAAGCTTTTACGTCTGTTCCCTTAAAAATTGATTTTTTTAAATCAGCTAAGGAGGTTGCAGGATGTGTTTGAGGCAACACACAAACAGTAACAAACTGTTTTTCAGTGAGCAGAATCATCAGAATTTACTACCATCAATTTGTCAGCTAATGCAGTGATCGCCCCCAAAACAAATCAGTCATGTCACCCACCACAGTCAGTAAAACGAAAATAAACGTAAACAATAAACAAAAGCTGACATATGATCATGTCAGGCAGGCCCAGGCCAGGAGCAGGCCTGCTTTATTTAATTCTCCAAAAAGTCTCTCTCTCTCTTTCTCTCTCTCTCTCTCTCCCTCCCTCTCTCTCTCTCTTATCTGAGATGAAAGCAGGAGGCACAGTGTTTCTCTGTTTACAGGATGTCACACCAGCTCAGACAACCCCCTACCAAACCATCCACTTACTATCAATGCATACAAATGCTGAAAACATTATTAATATTTAAAGATAGTGCTATCTGCTTAACCCATTCATATCCAACTCAATTTAATATAGGAAAAAGTTACAAAGCTTTTTTTTATGATTACGTGTAATTCAGAATCAAGTTAGGATTTTGTGTTGAAGTCTAATGTGAACAAAACACTAAATAAGGGAATGTAAGTAGAATAAACCACTTTCAGGGCACATGGTTTAATCAATTAAAAAATCTTCACATTTGCATTTCAAAGAATATATAAGCCAAATGAAATCAAATATTTCTGATTAAAAGTCCAATTTCAAACCTTCACTTTAAAAAAATATCCCTGGCAAAATAGCAGAATTCTTTCTAGAACAATATCACCTTTTAAGGCATCCTTTGTGATTTCTCTCATTTGATAAAAGTCGAGCTCTCTCCTGCTCTAGTTTTATCTGAATTAGGTTCTCTGGAGGAGGAAGCTCAGGAGAAGAGTGTTTTATGGACTCTGGTTATCTGATCTGACAGAGTGGTGGTCCCATAGCACCAGAGTGCTAATGTAGGAGGATGTCAAAACAAACGCACAAAGTGTCCCAATGTGATCAATACAGCACAACCGCAGGGACATCAGCAAACAACAGACGCAGGAACAACATAATGGCCTCTTCACTATGCAATCGGCTCACGAGACGCAGCTTCTTAGAGGTCAAAACAGTGGCTATTATTAAATACTCAAATCATAAAACATTATGGCAGACTGAGTCAAGACCATGCAAGAACAAGAAAAGCTGATGTAACCTTGGTCAGCTCCAGATCTCCTCTAACTATTGTAATGTAGTGTAGAGCAGCCCAGCCCCCATACCTCCAGCGGCAGCAGCGTCCCCCGTGTCCAACAGCAGCCCTGTGTGCTTTGGGCTTTTGAGTATGGGAAGCATGCTGTAGCACAGTGAATGACAAACGCTTGCTTATTGATCGCAGTTTGCACTTAGGCCAACTGATAGAAAGTAATTAATGACTCTATTTTCTTCTGTACCAAAGAGAACAATTGAGTTTTATACAGCAACAACACATAGCCATGTGAAAGACCCCCAAGGGTGCCGTCCGTAAGAAATGCTTGACCTCAAATATGGAATGATTCAAATAATGCCAAGGAAAAAAAGCACATATGAAAAGCATACATGCCACAAGAGGGATTAATAGGAGGGGAAAAAATATATTGCCTTATTCTAGCTGCTACTTCACACAAAGAATACTGCACTCACACACACACACACACACCACACATACAGACACACATATTGCTCTCTATCACAGCTCTCTATGGATCTATTTCTCTGTGAAAGTCAGGTTCATCCTATGGCTTCAGCCATTGAAAAAAGGTCAAGCTGGCGGGTAGAATGGCAATAACACCCCTGAAATGGTACTATCAGTGGAACATGATTGATCAATTGAATTCCATAGCACAGAAAAATGTGGGATTAAGTAGAGTATTATACGCACAATGAGTTGAGGCATGATGTTCATTTCAAGTTCATTTCGCCTCCCTCCTGCCACCAGATCAGGCAATCAATAGGGGCCTTGCATATCATATATCACCACACTCGCGCTGAGGAGAGAACATAATCTGCTGCAAATTTAGAATGACAGATTTGTAAGGGAACTAAAGCCCGAGGCTGGGAGGTTGGGCGTCTGTGGTCATGGCTGCCAGGGTTGCAGGGATGCTCGCCGGAGGTTAGCGAAGGGGTTTTCGAGAGCAAAAACGAAGATGAAGCAGTGGGGAATCCGGGGCACCTGCTTTGGCGAGGTGATGAGGTCAGAATCTGAGGGGAAACTGCTCATTTGTTTATAGACAGTGGGTCTGAAGGAAATGCATAAGCTAGCAGTCACGCAGTGTAATTGTATTCAAGCTGTAGCTGGCCCCCCATTTTTCCAGGGAAAAGCAATCTGAAAGTGAAAGCAGCATTACATTCTAAAGGAAATTGTGCCTTTAAATAATAGCTCTCCATTTCCACCAGCCTGCCAAACGAGAGCAACCCCCACCCCCCCAAACACCACCACCACCTCCACACCCCCTTATTGCTACAGCTCATACTAAAACACATGGTCTTCCCAACAAGTCTATGTTTGCACTGAAGGTAATCCATCAATTACTGCAGACCTATCACATGATGATGGTGCTGATGCTGGACAGGGAGGGGGAGGTAGAGGTGTTGGAGGAGGAGAACCACTCTCTCTCCTCCCCTCTTTCTTTCCCCCTTCTTTCTCTCTCTGGCTCTCATTTTCCTTCTCCTTTTCCCCTTCCCCCTCACTCGTGCTGTCTTTCCTCAGCTATTAGGATCTGTTTGAGGCTAGTGCTGACTGAATTTGAACTGATATACTCCTATCTTTCAGCCCTGCTCCCACCGCTGGTGCTGAGAGGTGCACTAGGCCGGGCTATGAGAGCAGGGAGGGTTTTATTTTTTTGGGTGGCTGCCCTGCAGAGAAATGGGGCCATAATGACTGCTACTAGCATGTGGCCTTGTCCCTCTCTCCTCTCGTAGATGGCTCAGATGGCTCTGGCCCAAACAGTGATTCTCAGGGTAGTGTGGAGAGTTTACGGAAGCACCTGAGGGCCGATGCCTTCACTCAGCAGCAGCTGGAGGCTCTGGACCGGGTGTTTGAGCGACCGTCGTACCCCGACGTCTTCCCAACGTCAGAGCACATCAAGCCAGAGCAGGTCAGTAACACCGAGGCTAAATGGAGAATAACTATGACCAAATACAACAAATCCATTCAGCAGATCTGACCAGTTAGCCAAGATCTCTCTCTTTGATTAGTTAACAATCTATCTGATTTACTACAAGACTAAACATGGAATAAAATGCGAGAAACTCGAATAGCCATTTGATTTGAGCACCTCAGACAAAACAAACAGAATTCAGGTGGAAACTAAGTCACTGACAGTCTTTTAGAGTTTTCTTCCTCAAACATCAGACACCCGGATCAACATCCACTATAACCGATACACACAGTACACAGAATATATCACAGACTATTCATTTACAATACAATTTAATCCAAAACAATATTGTTGAGCTAACCCATGACTCTGCAACGGATATTAAATCTAATCATTTTTAGTTTTAATTAAATTAAATTATCTGACATTTAACAGACTATACAGCCACTGAAACAACACACTATAAAGAAGATTACAGCCTGCAAAAATGATCCAATCAAGGTCCTAAACGTGGTGCAGTCAGAATTACAGCTTAAGGCCTTGCTAAAAGTGATACATGCGACAAAACAAACCCTTCTGTATACAACCTCTTATTTAAAGTTGTAGACTTAACCTTTATTTACTTTCATTAGACTATTAAACAACAAGCGACTATTAATTTTTCCCTTGAAACTCCAAGTGGAGGCCCATAAAGCAAAAGCAGAGGCCTAATTGAGTTCATTTTAATTTCTCTCCAATCGTGGCGAATTACACTGGTGATAAATCAGGGGGACAGCCCTCACCCCTAGTAGAGGGCCTAATTTGCAGCTAATTACAAAACTGATTTCTATTGGAAGATCAATACCAAAACGAATTGGAAATGACTTGCAATCACAAAGAGAACCAGAGAAGGTATTAAAATTGCGAGTAAAGAGGTTAAGCGTAAGGGGAAAAAAACGGCCCTGAAACAGGCCCAGAAAAATCACTTTTAATTCAGTGTAATATTAATCAGACTTTACTCCCTTTTATTGGTCTCTTTTTCGGCCCCCTTTTTAACTCTTGAAAGGGCGGCCCTATTAGCCAATGTCTGGTGTGTGAAGCAAGGCATTAAAAAGCCATTTTGGAAATGCTGAACTCAATAGACTCACCCCTCCCACACTTCTGCCAGCCATTTGGTCATCCTTTTCAAATGGCTCTTCAGTTGCCCCACGCCCAACCTGACCCTATCTGCATGATAAAATGGCTGTTGTGCATCTGAGGCCAGGCCGAATAGAGAGGAACATCCGCTGCTGGCCCAGTGAACAGTTGTATCAGACAATTAGAGTTTATCTGGGATAGAGACAGACAAGACTGGGGTCACGGCATTTCCCTTTGGGACACTGGTCCATTGAGGTACACAGATGCACGAACACATTCACGCACACCCAAGTGTGTGCTGTGTGTGTTTGTATACATGCACACACACGCATTTCAGTAGCAGAGAGATAACAACAGAGCAAGGAAGGGTTTGAAGTACAGAATGCAGGAAGACCACTCCTGAAAGACATACCAAGAAGTTTCCTAACATCATCATATTTATTCAATGTGTATTACAGCATTGCTATCATAGTCAGTATTAGCACAGCGTGACACTTTTTGAGAATCTGGGCCATCCATGAAAATGACTGTTCGTGCTGACAAATTTTTACTTCTGTTTAATGATTCCTTTAATAACTAATCCAAACAAATCTAACATAGATAATTATTGTGCCCAAAAACACAAATCAGCAAATAGAGCATAAATCTATTGTGAATCCAAAATAATACAAATCTCTTTAATTGTTCTCCACGCTACTTGCATGTGTCATCATATTTTTTTTTCAATGAAAACAATTACAAACGGTCGTTTCTGGCTCTAGAAACGGGGCCACATGTCGGTAATCTAACAAAGCAGGGCCGTCTCTTCCCTTGGCTGGTCAGGGGGATGGCTGCAGTCAAGCACAAAGAGGCAGCTGACACCCTTGCCTTTCAACCCGCTCCAAATCCTACTCTCAGCCCCACTCACTAATGTATGCACTCACCATGCACATGCCCTCTCACCAAAATACACACTCAGGCCTTACAGTCTCTCTCTCTGTGAATGGAGAGAAGGGAGATGCTACAGAATTTCAGTATCACTGTATTCCAGGTGCTCATTTATAAAGCTACATAGCTATCACCTGAGCAGCCAGTAGATTAACTTAGATGTAGGCGGTGCCTTCTGTGGTGCCGCATTTTCCTTTTTTCTTCTTTTCCTTTTTCTCATAGTGCTACACTCCAAAAATGGCAGACAAAGCATTAAACATGGCTTCACATGATAATGGAACATACTTGGCTGACTGGTGGCTCAGAAGCAGTTAGCTTTATAATTGGCCACCTCGGATAGAGAGTTAGGCAGAGAGCTGTGCTTCTGTGCGCCTGTTTAAAGTGTCCCCCTCATTGGCAGGCTAATGAATACGCACTACCAGCACTGAACCCAGGACTGGACGAGGTCAAGCCCAGTCTGTCGACCAGCGCCAGCTCAGAATTGGGCTCCAGCGTGTCACAGAGCTACCCGGTAGTGACAGGTAAGAGTGCTGGATCACCTGTCCTAGCCAAGGCCCAGAGGTGGGTAGATTAGTCTGAACTCATACTCTAGTGAAAGGATTGTTGCTTTGGTGAAATAATGGCTCAAATAAATATGAAAGAATATATCCAAAAACAGCTTAAAAGCTTTTTTATGCACTTTTAGTCTAAAATAAAATAATAAACAAATGAATCAAAGGTCAGATGACCAGTTGAAAGCAGTACAGATACAACATAACATAATGAAGTTAAACCCAAAATGAAATTAGTAATGTAATGTAAACCCAAAATGTAATTAGTTGCTACCCACCTCTGCATAGGCCCATAGCATTCTAGCTAGCATTAGCTAGCATTAGGGTTCATCTCCAGTATATGTTTGTGTGTGACCTTTTTTTCAGGCGTGTTGAGTGGTAAAGTGAGCTATTCAAGTCGAGCCGAGCATCTCTGTGAATCTGGCATTTATATCTAAAGTGGTCAGATTAGTGTTAGGACCCACTCTGACTGACAGTGTGAGAGAATACTGCTCACCACAGACAGGTGCTGTTACTTGCATGGCAGGGTGGGAACATTTGAAGTGATGATCTGAGTGCTGACTGACAGTGTCAAGCAAGTCACTGTGCGGTAATTGATGCACCGCCTTCTACCTGTCACCTCTGCTTACTGAGGAACGGCGGATGAAAACGGCCAATGATGCCTTCCTGTGTAAACACGACTGTTGTAAGAAAATTTTATTTAGCCTGTACCTTTCAGGCACATGGTAAGAAAAAGCACTCTGCTGTGTATTGCTCCGTGGTGCTCCAGTAACATCCCCCCCACTTGTCATCTTTTGGTATGTAGTGGTTAATGTCAGGCTGGCTAATTGAAATATTGTTTCATTGCAGCGGCTGTTATTACCTCGGAGAAGGTTAAGTTTACTGATAGCCAACTGTCGCTCCGAGATTAATACACTGAGCTTTTAATAAAATTCACATAATTATGCAGGAGCCATCAAAGCCAATGAGTTCTGTGTGGGCGTAGGACAGGATGATTGAAAATTGCTGTGCCCCCTTCTCAAATGATAGCTGGCCAGTGTTATGCGAAAAGAAAGGGCTTTTTTTCCTCGCAGTAATATGTGGGAGGTAGGATTCCCTCCAGAAAGTTGGGCCCCTGGAGAAGAAAGGTGTGTTTTTGTCCTTTGTATGAAAGCAGTCTCGGTCTGGGGAGCACCCTCATGGCAGGTGGCCTTTCTTGCACCTGGGTTGGGACTCCACAAGGGGGTTTCAGTGCAGACCACCTTTCGTTTCACAATAAAAAACTTTGCTTATAAAGAAAGTATGATATTTTTATAGTTCAACAGTTTAATACTACTATACTATACTATTACTATTAATAATATTATATATATCTATATCTATCTATCTATCTATATATATATATATATATATATATATATATATATATATATATATATATATATATATATATATACACATTAATGCCTAGCTTAGTTTCATGCAGTGTGTGGCAAGGTTCGTCTAACAGAAAAAGAACTGAAAGAACCAATGCTAGAAGAACCTTAAATTGCTATGTGTATTCTTCAAACATGAAATGATATTGTAATTATTTTTACCACTGCCTTCCTGATGCACTGGGCACAAACCTCCTTATTCGAAGGCCTTGAATATTAAATGTTGCGCAAGGTATTTTAAATGGCTTCTGGCAGTAATAACTCCATTTATAATGCAGTGCTGAGCAAGTAATGTCGAGTGATATGCAATAACTGGATGTTATGGTGTTCTAGCATGTGATAAACTTTGGAAATGGGTATAAGGACCAAGTTAAAAGAGGTGCTAAATTACCCCCTGCATTTACATTGAGAGCCAATTTGGAATAAATGACTCCCTGCCATTGGATAGAGCTGCAGATTATGGTCATTCCCTGCAATGTTTTCCTGAGCCAATTAAAATTCACGCTGTCATTGATCATGTTGATTTTATGTCATGAAATTTGCATAATCTATTAAAGATGAATGATTAATGAACTCTTCATTACAAAACAGAAATTGGAATTTTAAGGGCAGCACGAGGGGAAGGAGACACGGCTCTTTTTCTGTCCGCTGTTTATCCTATTAGCGCAAGGAGTTAGGACTGCTGTTCTGCGGCTGAAAAGGCAGGAAGCGCTGTTAGGGAGTTGGATTAATTTATCCAAGCAGGCCTGTATTTGGACTGGGTTGATGTGTCTTCTCCACTGCCATTTAGTAAAACAGATTAATTCCCATTGAAGTGAACACATTTCTGTGCAGATACAGAGATACACATAAACACAGCATTGTAATGTGTGGTTGGCTATAGGCTTTATTGATTATGATTATTAAAATAATCTTTAAAATATCAGATTATTCAACTTTATGCGTTAAATCAGATTAGAGGTATTGTTATTTTGGTCCGCTGTCTTATCAGGGCCAGTGAGACTTCACATTCCAACACTTAGACGTATTTACAGTAATGAAAAAAAAACAAAGGCATGATTTATTCTGGCTATGGAAACTAACTTGGACTCTTTCCAGATATGACTCGTCTTTTTAAAAAGGCCGTTTTGCACATACCTCTAGAATGAATGGCCGGTGCACATTCTTAAGCGCCCTCCCTGCAGAGGCATATAATGGAAGTCTTCCTGGTGCCAGTGGGATGGTACCGTGTAAATGGGCACCCCTCTGACCCGCTGAAAACCTGAGCAGGTGCTGAAGGGATCTCCCTTGTTCCAAATCTCTTCAGAGAGATGGTGGGGGAGTGGGGTATGGGGGAGTCGGGGGGGTAGTGCTGTGCCTGAAAGCAACACAACTCCATGTCTGGAGGTTGTGTAAAAAAAAAGAGAAAAAAAGAAAAGGAAGAAAAAAGCATGGTGCAGGAGAAGTTAGAAGGAAAAGCAGCATACGCAGGCAGGGAGAAAAGAAAAGACTGCTTTGTGTCGGCCTTTGCCGCTGATGAACTCCGGCTGAAATATATCCGCCAGAGAGCCATTTTTTAAGTGTGGCTTGCTATTCTCCAGTGAGCAGCGAACAACAGGCAGCCGGCTCGGCTGAGGCGCCTGATGTGTGGCCCGGTGACAAACTACCTGTGTCTCAGCTCAGCTCAGCACAGCCCCGCCAGGCCCTGCTGCCCAAATTAATGTTTATTTCATCCTCACAATAGCACACTAACCTTTGAGCACACATTTGATAATGAATGACTTTTAAACACATAGACAGGGAGTTCGACTTTAATTCACCTCTCCAAACATTCTTGGCTCAGTCGTAATTGATTAGAGTTGTTGTTTTGCAGGCTTATGATAAATAGCTAACTCCAGAATGCTGAAAATAGAGGTCAAAGATTTTAGTGAACTGTTATTGTTACATACATGAAGGTGTCCCTATTGTGGAGAATTTAAAATATTTGTAATCCCCTAAAGACTTGTATGCAGGTGACTTTGCTATAGCTGCTGGGTTTAAAAAAGGAAGGTCAAATGCTCCCCTCCTACTGCACAGACACATTCCCCTCAGTATACGCACCCATGTGAAACCATGCGCCAGGGAGAGACAGACGTGGAGAACTCTATAGGCCCGATGCCGTGATGTGTTTTGTTGCGAGAGAGCCTCCGCACAGACCTGTGTTTATCTCCCATCTCAGTAATCAGGAGGTTGACAGCCTTCCTTTTTGCAGGCCTCGCTCGTCCGCAGGACAATAAGCAACAGCGCTTCTGATTAGTTTCAGAGTTCACTGATCTTGAACACTAAGCCCGGGTCAGTGTAGCACTGTGCCCTTGTCTGTCTGACAACAGCAGAGCGCTGCGTGTGAAAACAGGAGCCCTAATTCGTTCCAAAAAGCCTCTTTCCCTCTCCTTTATTGGCCTCAAAGGTTTTCGTCTTGAAGTTTGGCTTTATGGCCAACATCTCCTTCTGTTGAAAAAAAGCAATATAGTCATCTGAGCTGTTCATTTTACACCTCTGCTTAACCCCTTTTTGTGTGCACAGTAACAAAATTTTACATTCTCTAACAAGCTCTCCACTAAAAAGCGAGGTTTATTAGTCAGGTACTGTACGCAGATGCAGCCATCAGGCCCTCAGAAAGGGAAATTCTGCCATTGATTTGTGTGGGAAAGAGGCCAGTTAAGTTGCCCGATTTCCTGGCGTTAGGTCTGAAAGGGTTGTCAGGGTTGCGTCCGACATAAAGGAGGCCTTATCTTAATGAGGGATTCTCCGCACACAGCTCGGTTGTAAAACAACAATAGTTGGGAAGCAGCTAATGAGGCTATCATGGAGCTGTGAGAGCCCTCCCCACAGACCACGCTAACAGCAGAGGATGTTAAAGAGGATGAGGAAAGAGAGAGACAGAGAGAGAGAGAGAGAGAGAAAGAGAGAGCCAGAGAGAGATTACATTGATTGTCTGGGTTGCAGCAGCAAACCCACAAAGATGAATGAAAAATGCCAAGTTTCATCAGGCAGATGATATTAATACTGACGTTTCAAAGGGGTTGTTTTATGATTTGCAGTTTTTTCTCTCTCGACTTGTTTTATACACCTAAACCAGAGGGAAATTTCTCTCCTATTTGAGCTTGATTGACCTGGGAGGCTTACTGTTGGCTGCTGATGTTATTTTAGAGGTACTGTACACACAGAAGTGACCTAATAATGAGGAAACATATTCATTTGTTAGTGTATAATGAAAGCCAACAAGCCAGAATTTTGCTTTATAATAATTCCTGTTTCCCAGGTTCATTACAAGGCTTCAGCTTTGAGAAATTAAATATATTCAACGCATGAGTTGTTGCACAACAAAACAGACCACTTGTGTGCTGGAAAGAGGAGTTATCTCTCGCCTGACACTTTGCATTCAGACTCAGTGTTCAGCAAAGAATTCAAAGGAAAAGCCCAAGGGTGTGGGCTGAGAAAGATTTATCTGGGCCTTTTAAGTGAAGAATGCTCTTTATGCTCTGGGACTTACATTCATGAGCTGTAGGAGATGACCGCATTAGATTCCATTTGCTTAACAAAGTGTGTTTATGGTATCGCCAGTCTAATTATTTGGGGATCAGACCCCCTACACGCTGCGTGTGTGTTGCTCCGAACACTGAGTGTGTGTCCTCCACATGCTCTTTGACCCCTGCTAACCTGGCATTGGACTGATACACACACACAGACACACACTACACAAAAACATACACATGCACACATGGAGGCTTCATGCTCACTTCTCTAAAGTCTGTGCTGATACTTTAAAACTCCAAAACACATCTGGATGATTAGACCACAACACAATGCAGTCATGCCTCAGCACAGAGAGCTTACTTTACCATAAAAACACTATCACAGCACACAGCAGAGTCAGACAAATCCGAATCCAAATTTCATTTCATTTTCTTTTTGTTACGTTGGTTTTAACCGACTGATCCCATACACACCCATCCTTCATCATTCCATGTGCTTGTGTGTGTGCCTGTGCATTGTCTGATTGTGTGTGTGGCTTTTGTTTTGTTTCTCCACCCGGCAGAGTCCCATTCGTCCTCGGTGTGTGTTAAGCAAGAGCCACACGAGGCTTCGCTGGCTCCTTTCACCCCCTCTTCGCTGGCAGCCTCGGGCCTAGCGGAACTGTTGCCCTTCCAGCCCAGCGTGTCAGTAGACGCCTCCACCCCCTGCTACGGTGCCTATGCCCACCATGGCCCCAGCTACGGCCAGTATGCAAGCCAGCCTATTATAGCAGGTACAGCCCGACTGGAGGACCCAAAAAAAAATCATTGTACCCTGCGCTGGTTGGGGGGAGACAGCTACTGTCCTACTCTGTCCCAGAGCTACTACCTACCATAAATGATTTTTTTTGTTTTGTTTTTGTTTTTTTTTTGCTGGGAAGGATTGGTGATTCTTGCACATTCTTGTTTGTGTTTGGGAGAGAGCGTGTTTGTCCATGTGTCTAAAATCATGTAACATTCCCATCTATTATCATCAAAATAATGACTGAGTTGCTGTGAATCTCTATTTTTTATGCTCTTAACTGCAAAAAGAAAAAACATATAGCATCTCTACTCATTTTAAAATTTTTAATGAAATTATATTCAAATTCCTCTTGTTAGTAATAAATATACTCAAGACAGCAAAACCAAACCCTAAAATAATAATAATAATAATAATAATAATAATAATAATGTCTGCATTAAATATTCTATGATTACCCTCTGTTTAAGAACCAAATGTTATGTATTTTATGCAGCTTGTACAGCCCAAGACATTGAGTTTTTTGCTTAATAACTTTAAAAGTATGTGAGCAATATCAATATTATTTATCCAGTCAACCTACAATTCAATAAACATCTTTGCTACAAATGAAAATGAATATTTTCAAAAACGTACTATTTATGAACAACACAATCAAAAGCAGAGTGAATGCAAATGTGACATATAACCCAATAGGTGGGTTTAAGTGTAAGAGGGGGTAGTTGTAACAGTCTCTAAAATGTGTTATAAATCAATGCAAAAACACAATTAATTCACTACAGTTCTATGTTGTTTGAACCAGATGAGGTCTCCAACCCAATTTTCATCAAAATAAATATGATTAGCGAAAAGAGGCAGTGTCAAACATATTATTTTGACCACAAAGTAGAACAGCACAACCAATTGAAAAATATTTTATTTACGTGATATCTATAGTACATTTTTTTTGTATAAAAACTTAAAAAATGACTGTGTTTAATGTAAATATGGGGGATATGGACTTCTCTCATTTTTTGCCTTGAAAAGAATACTGTATTGTATATTGTATCTATATTGTAACTTTGTGCTGCAACTAACCTGGCTGTGTGGAGGCTGCACTTTAGCTGTTCTAGCTCTCACTGTGAGTTATTCGTATGCATCAAAACAGTGCTAGAATACAGCCACCAACAGGGTGATTAAAACAACGTAGATGTGAATTCTGTGTCATAAACACACAGCTCAGTATTCAAAAACATTTACAATGAAAAAGTTACCTTTATTTGCAAAAACGGGGAATCTTGAGAAACGTTTGTCCGATTGCTGTCAAAATATGGATAGGAGAACATCACTAAAAGCAAGTTATAGGGGGAATCTGTTTAGCTACATACAATATTCACATTTCACCTCATGTTAGTTTGTGCCCACCTCTCCTCTACTAGTAGACAAATGTAGTTTTAACAAATTGTGCAAATTATGTCAAAATCTTGAGGTGAACTGAAGTGGATGAACACATCAGTGGATACAGTTATTTAAGTTATAGCACCCCTGTTGTCTCGCGTAAGCCATTTTTCTGCAGCCAATGATGACATGTTGCATAGCCATGATCGGACCATGTGTTACATATTACAAGTTTAATAGTTGTTTGTATGGTTAAAAGAAGAATCCACAGCCTGCAGCAGTCGACTGGCATATGGCATATATGCTGTTTACAAATTTCAAAATATATTTCTGATAAGTTATAGAACCAGATTATGCACAGTACACAAATGATCTCAAAATCTATTATGGTGGAAGGGCACTGTCCTGTAGGCTTTTTATTTTTGTTTGGCATAAGCCAACAAATCTGTAGGAAAACAGAACTGACCGTACAGGCTGGTGGTGCACACTAATGCTAAATGAGGCTATGTTGCATATGTAAGTAAATGTGGTCTTAAGATGGCTTGTACTTAAAAACATGTAAACTGGATCGTAGACGCACAAACAAATTTAAGAGTTCCCATTGTCCATCTTTATGGTCAGAATGCCAGAGTACAGGAGATACAGTTGAAAACTAATTTCAGATGCTATGTCAACTGTAATAACATCATTCTAGTGAAGATGAACCTCAGTATGTTTGGACTGGAAGCTGGTATTTGTACATGCTGAACAACTGAATGATTAATGGTGAAAATCTGTATAGGATTGCAGTAAATATCTATTGTACTTCTCCGCTGTTGGTTAGACTGTTGATTGTGCAGGAACACTAACAAGGGATCACAGCTTGGTTTGCTGATTAGTTACTGATGCAATAGAGGCAAAAGATTCAGGGAATGAGTCTTGATGACCTAATGCTATGTGGGCACTGCTACTGGAGTCTGCTACTATTGGTTTTATTATTGCCTTCCCCATTAGTCTCACTCATCTTAAAAATGGCATCCATATTCCACAGTCAGCCCATCCCCTCATTCACTCATGCATGTGTTCAGTCATGCCATTAGCAGATTTTTATTATGTAAAAAGTGAGCAACTTTGACTGCTAGCTGTCACTTTCCGTCATGACTGTCATAGGACCTTCTGCTAACAAAAGCAGGAGGCCCAGTGAAGGCCCTGCTCAGGCTGACGAAGGTTTATGTGTTCCAGAGCCAACGGCACGACCAGAAGAACTGGCCGTCACCACCAATTACGGCATTGAATGTGGAGGCCATGCGCGCTTCTACCCTCAGCACTGCTGAGGTCTTCAGTAAGAGCTCTGCCAAACAACAGCGTTCAGTTCGGTTCAACTCTGTCACTTCACAAAAAAGACACATGAGTGAAAACTGGCCTTCGGTGGTGCTCTGTGAAGCAGGATGACGTGTGGAGAATAAAACGCTGCGGAGTTCTGCTGTGTAAGCAGGTTTGGAATGGCGGAGCATAGAGGAGATGATCTTTGACCACAGCATGGTTTGCCCATAATGAGTTTTGGACAATATAGGCTTGTTGTTTGTCTTTCTAATCATCTGTGACTGGTTTGCTGGCGCTTTCTTTGATAACTGATGAGGTTTGGATTTGAAGCATTATTGGTGATTACTGACACTGGCACAGCGGAAAAGAAGAGGAAATATTTTGATATGATTGAATGTATTTACTGTAGTTGTGCGCGAGGTCACATATCTTCACACTGTGTTACTTTAGCACTGCTTAATGCTTAGGGCTCTTTTCCAGTTGATGCTATGCACTATAAACTTTACTGTGAAAATTATGTGGTCTATACAATATCCTGCCTTATGATATATCAAGGAGCGATTGTGTTTTTGCTAGTAAAGTATGTTAATGTACACATCTTAAGAATTAAAAGGTTTTTTCAAAAAAATAAAAGACAGCACATTAATTTGGATTCAGATTTTGCATATCCATATGGGAAGCATGTGTTCTTTAGTTGACGCTTAGTCCTGGAGCTGCTCTTACATTCTCTGCCTCCTGCTTTTCAGGTCGAGACATGGCCAGCACGACTCTCCCAGGCTACCCTCCGCATGTCCCCCCCACTGGGCAGGGAAGCTACCCCACCTCAACACTTGCTGGAATGGTCCCTGGTAAGTGACATTACTCTTTTTATGAGGCTGTTCATTTTAAGAGAGCTCGTAATATTTTCACCAATTGACCATCTTCAGCAAACCTGAGGTCATTCAAAGCCAACATAAAGTTCATAAAGAAATGTTTGGAGGGCTTACTTTTTACAGCTCTGCAGTGCCTAGTGCCTGCTGAGTCTGTCAACTAAATACAGATAAAAGTCATCTAAATAATGTTTTTAGCATAATGCAAAGTACAGTGTAAAGAAAGGAGGCTTGCCACACGGTGGCTGTAGGCTTAGTAAGGACAATGACGTTCTGTGTGTGAACCGTAGGCCTCTTCGGACACGTAATTGACCTGTAAGGAAGCATCGTGCTGCTTATTGGCTGAGTAGGAGCAAATTAGCGCTGTTCAATAAGCGATCAGGGCGCGGGATATAGGACAGTTCCTTTCAGTTCCACTCGGGTTCCAGCGCTCATTACCCCCCCTCCCCAGCATTCTCACGGACCATCGATAAACAGGGCTCTCTCCGCCCCAGCCTGCAGTGCTGCAGAGCGTATCTCTTTCCCCCTCTACTTAACCTGCAGTTCAGGTTCACAGCAAACAGTTAAGGGTCACAAAACAGCGGGCGGGAAGGCCTGTAAATATTTAAATCACTATCTCTCTGAGGGACCCGGCTTGAGTTTCACTGCCAGCCACCAGGACAGGATGCAATCTGGCAACAGACTGGTGCCCTCTCCCCAAACAGCGCACACACAGACACGGATACACGCACACACAACACCTCTTCTGTACAGTACAATACTGTAAGAGGCTGGCTACAGCTGCAGCACTGTTTACACACTTTATCCCAGGCCTGGCCTCAGCATCAGTGACAAAACATGCCCCATAGCATCTCCACAAACATACTTTGAGCAAAAAATTGGAAAACAAATATTTTACATCAAACACAGAAGGATTCTTGCGGCGGTCACTGTTGAGTGCTTCAGCCGGATTCAGCCTCCCTGGGCTGCAAACATGAATACTGTTTTTGCTGGGTAAATTTAATTCAGTGACAGAATTCATTTGTTGGGCAAACATATCTTTACAGGTACATCAAATATGGTTTCATCAAAGATTCATTTTCACTGGTCACACACACACACACACTCAGAAATCCTCTTAAATCCAGCAGCCACGGGCTTAGTGTGCATTCCCATTCATCTGGTCCCCGAACGACTAAGATTTAGTGACAGACCCCAAACACTGTTAAAGCAAAAGCCATTCCTCACCAGCTTCATATAAACCCCAGCCTTTATTGTCTCATAAAAGAAAGAAACGTGGAGGGACCAACAGCATTGCTCACTGACACGCTTGCGGCTGTTCCCTGAAAGTCGAATCCAGGCTATATAAAGAAGGCGGGCGCAAGCAAGAACGAGTCCATTGGGGAGCTTTTGGAAAGTAGGGAAAGTGAACTCTGATAGTGCAAAGGCAGATATCAAAGAAAGAAACCGTAGAAAAAAAGAATGTACTTAGAGCTGTGATAAAATTCAACCAAAACATCCAAGCTGGAGGGCTTACAACAGCAAAATCTAGCTTGGGCTGGTGTAGTGCAATAATGTAATTTATGTCCGTGCTGATCTGCATCAGTTTTAGGGGCTCAGCTTTAAGTGATCTCCAAAATAGTAACTTTACAGAAGAAGGCAAAAATGTTCTCAACTTTCAACTTAGATTTTATTACAAGTAATTTTGGAGCATTTTTATTGCTCCACTCATCATGAAATTTATACATAGTATAAAGGACAGCTGCTGTGCTCAAAGTACATAGAAAAATCACAAAAAGGGGAGATGATTTTATTGGTGAGGAAGGATATTCAAGCAAAACTGAATTAAGATGCATCAACTGAATTGAAATATTTTAAAACATTTCATTAAGATTAATTAAAAGATTACTTATTTATAATTTCTTCTAATTAGAGTCTGATTCATTTTCATTTTTCAGGAAGCGATTTTTCAGGAAACCCCTACTCCCATCCACAATACACAACTTACAATGAGGCTTGGCGGTTCAGCAACCCTGCATTATTAAGTGAGTATTAACACTGGATTACATGTTTATTCTCTTTGTTATTAAGCTTTTTATAGTGGGCCTAAATAAATAATCTTTATAAACATAAACTTCAGCACGTTTGCAAAAATCCAATATCTGCATCTTCTTTCTTTAAATGGTTTATTTTTTATTTGATTACATTGAGCATAATTTACTTCATTTTACTGACATCATGGCATTATGTAGTCTGAACCATGATGTAGCAACACCATATTTGATAGATTTCTGAAGTAACCAAAGTTACTCCCTACAAAAATTAGGCCTATTAACATGAAGGTGATTAATATAAGCTTTATTTATCAGCTCAAATCACGCTACTTGATCCTGAGCTGAAGTGAGCGTGTACTGTCTCCTGCTTTCGAGTGGGCCTGAATGTTCCTCTGCTGTGGTGCACTAGGTGGTTTCAAACGGTCCGCTCTTCTGTTAACTTCCAGGTTCCCCTTATTATTATAGTGCCGCATCCCGGGGCTCCGCCCCTCCCACTGCTGCCACTGCCTATGACCGCCACTAGTTACCATGGCAACCCAATCAAACTGCAGCACCATGGTCGTGGCCTCCATATTGTACCAGTCTGAATGGCATTAAGGTCCACGGGATTGAACTTGACTCTACAATCTTCAGTTTGGTGGGGTCAAGCTGAGATTAAGAGGGTCAAGCAGCGGTGGGTTTTTGCCTCACACATTTCTTGGACCCCCTGATCATCGACACCAGAGCCCTCGTACTTCTTCGACGCGCCGGAAACTGACTGAGCAATTTTCCGAAAAGACTCTGAAAGATTATACAAAATATATATATTATAAAATATAAAACATGACAAACCGTGTGAAAAATACAAAGTAACAAGTGATGTGTTTTTTTTGTTTTTTTGGTTTTTTCCCATCAATACATTCCTTTACATACTGTACTTAGTATCACTGACCAAGGATCGATTGAGGCATTTAGGACTGTCCTTTGCCAATGTCCTACCATTATCACTGTCTCACCTCTCACGGACACATCAATTATGCACGGAGTACAGAGAAGGAGAGAACTGCAGTAGAGGGCTTTCACTCAAACCCCTACTATAATGACCAGTTTAGTCATCTGCTGCCTCTGAGTGATAGCATGATGATAGCAAAAGACGTACACTGTTTTCTGTGATACACAATCATGTGTAAAAGTCTGACTACTAAGAATAAAAAAACAGAAAACTCCGAATGGTCTGAAAAGAAAAGAATTTATTAAGTTATAGCTGTGTTTGGATTTAATGAATTTCTCTTTCCTTTTTTTTTTACATTTAATGCCAGTTTTCTGTCTTGCAGTTCATTCAGTTCCGACTTCATGACCAATATTATATGCTTTGCTCATTTTTGCACTATTTAATCATAAGGACATTGAGCTAGCAACGTTTACCAGACTACATGCACAAACATGTACAACTACTCATTCTAAATGCTAACTGTGTAGCATAATTGGGCAAAATAATTGAACATAATAAGTTGTACATGCCTTTTTCATTTCATTTCAGTAGGAATGAAAAAAGACATATTATATATATATATATATATATATATATATATATATATATATATATATATATATATATAATAAATGAAAAAAGACATATTACTAAGCCACTATGATTTGTACTAAAATCAAGTCAGTGCTGTTCAATTATTTAGAACCGAGAAGTAATTTTGTGTAAACGCACTGCTCATGCTAAAAGAACAAAAGCACTCTACTCTTATGTCATCGTGAGTAACACTCCTAGTAACGCCTTACTATCATTTTCCCCCCTTTTCCCTCAAATGTATGGGGGAAAACATTGGCTCCAGTCCTGAGAGGTAGACGTGCATGTAACACAACATTTGTGCTGTTGATCACAATTTTTCTCTAAATCTAGGTGGGACATTCGAGACAGAAGTGAAAAAGATTCATTATGTTACACACTCCTGGAAATGTAAAGTGAATGTAATTTTTACCACATTTGCCAAAGACATAGTTTGATATTTAATATTTTATTTGCAGTCTCTGTATGCATTAATAAAGCAGTATTATGTTTTAATAGTAGTCAACACTGATTGTATGTGGTAATGTTAAACAAAATGCAAAAGGTCCATCAAAGACAACATTACAGTGTACACGAACAATGTGTATTGGGTTACTTAATGTTTATGTCATTTGCAACAAATTGCTGCTTTGTAGAATTTGTGTATAATGTGAAGACAATTCTTCTATGTATATAAGATCATCTACATCTGACCATTGCAGTATCGTACTAATTTACTGATTCCATTTGTACATATGCGATTTGAAAAGGAGAAAAAAAATACATACATTTGTGTCTTATGTGTTGTGCACTAAAGCACAACAAAAAAAAAGAAAAAAGGAAAAAAAAAGAAACCTGTCATTTATTATTCTGTGGGTTTCAAATGATGCCCATCACATGTATGGCTGGTTGTACGTTTGGTTCCGTTTTTCTTGACTTGTTCATAATTTTTTAAGTCACTATGCAAATGAAGTAAAACAGCTTTCTGTATTCTCTTTTACCACCGTGTTCCATCTGACATCTGATTCCAGTTGTTCCTTCGGCCTCTTATTGATGGCAAGTCTGTACAAATGAACAAATGCATTCTCCACGCCTGGTTCTGTGGACTGCTCTGACGGATTTCCTTACAGCGATCCTTATTCCACGTTTAAAGTGCATTCTGTAACTTTACGGTTCTAAAGGTTCTTGAGCCAAGCTGACCTGAAAGTGTTCGCTATAAGACACAGCAGCATGGAAAAATGTCTTCTGCTTCTTCATACACCAGCAGAGAGAACAGCAGTTAAGAATAAATGGGTGAATATTGTTACAGTTTAAAAGGTCAAAAGTGCAGTCCCGCTTAGAATGAAGAGATTTTTTTGTCTCACACATTGCGCTCCATTTTGTGTCTTTTAAGAAGAGGCAGACAGAAAGGACCTACATCATTAGAGCAAGGCAGAGGACATGGTTCTCCTCCAGCTGGTAAAATGATACAGGAGATATATCATGGACATAACAAGAATTTCTGATGAAAATCTATAACAAAAGCCATGTGGCCTCAATCACTGCTCTGTTCCACTTCTGTCCAATTCCTTTTTTGTGCACATGAGAAATAAATTTTTTGTATGTCAACCTGTAAGAGTGGTATTTATTATTAACCCTTTCATGAGGGAACCATTAAGGGTTCAAGGACATGATAAGGTCCCACTTTTTATGAACGTCACACCACAAAAGTGTACATAAGATGGTAAGCGAGAGAAAGAGAGCATGAGAGAGAAGGCAAAAGACTCCTGCAGAGTCAGTTATACACACGTGTATGTATACAGACATAATGTATGCACACGTGTGTTGAAATCTTTCAAAACCACCTAAAATACACACACTGATATACTGTAATATAGTGTATATGATATATAGTACAAAACATTCAGTTCTGCAGAAGCGAATAGGGAGAGAGAGAGAGAGAGAGACAGAGATATGTAATGATGCTGGGTTTCCTCAGCAGCACACCACTGCTTGCTCCTCCTGCTCGAGCAGACAATCCAACCCAGTTGTAATTCAATTGCTCTGCCTATTGTTTATTTCATAGCTCCCCTGTGAAGCATCAAAAGCTGCTGTTCTGTCAGCCTCTTACTGTCGTATATGTTTGTCATTCAGGCCTTGTTAAAATAACGAAAAAGAGCCTCGTCTCCACTCTTCCCCCAGCTGAGAATTCCCAGTGGTAAAATTATTCCATTTAGATGGAAACTTTTTTGTCACTACCCTGTCTAAATTGGCATATCTGCCTCTTTTGCTGAAACCAATAAACTGTGAACCCGGATGCATCTGTCAATCAGGCTCATCTTTACTTTAGCATGCCAGATGACAACAAGGGAGAGAAGGGGGGAAAAAAGAAGCCGAATGGAATCAGCTGATTGGCTCTCATCAGCAAGGCATTACAAAAAGCACCTGTCATCCTCCAGGCTCCTCAAACCCAGTCAGGGGCCCCAGCCCTGTACTGCTGCGCTTCGAGAAACAGCTACATGCGCTCACACTCACACAGTAATTCTCCTGCTTTTTTATTGTTTCAGCCCTTTCCAGCAACACCGTTTAGAATCTTTCTAACATGTAGCTCATTGCTTTAAGAGTTTTAAAATGTTTTCAAAAGTGTTTTTATTGTTAGCATTACTTTTTCCAATTCATACCAAATTAAATGCTGATATTTACTGTGATTGGTAAAACCTGTATAGATTGGCCAAAGAAGTAGCAGCAGATTTCTCTAAGCATCTATACTTAATAATATCTTTAATTTATTATATAAATGAAAAGTAAGACATGTACAAAAATACAGTGTTATTATAAAAATATATTAATTAGTCATATGCAAAAGTTTTTGCACCCAAGTGAAAATAAGCTAACACAGCCTCCACAGAGTGCACATTTTAATGGACAATTACTGTTTATTTGCTGAATTTAACATATTGGGGAAGAAAAAAAAGTGGCATATGCAAAATGTATGGCATATTTCATATGTTTTTTTCCCTAATATGTTACACATAGCAAATAAATAGAAATTGTGCACTAAAAATGCCATAATTAAGTTTGGTCCCTGTAGAGGACGTGTTCACCACTGAAAATTAGCCAAGACTAGCACATTCACAGAAATGTGTATTAATGGTTATTGTCGAAATAAATATAAATTAAATAAACAAAACTAAATGAAATTTATTTTCACTTAGAAAATTTGCAAAAAAATTGACTTGTTCACTTACTAAAAATAATCTTCTTGAGTTGTACTCTAACACCTTTAAAACTTTGTATCTGCCACTATATGTTGTCCCTGTGACTAAGATTCTAAAGAATATGATTCTAAAGAATAAGATTCAAAAGAAGATCCATATTACATTTCCAGTTCTTATAAACCTGAGCTCACATTCAGGACGCTTTCACAGTAACTCATCAGTGACTACACAGCCCAGGTCTTACTCGAATAACCCAATCACTTCATAGTACACGTGTTACTGGTTGACAAGTCAGTGTGACACTGCCCCAATCCCATCAAGCATTATCGGAAATGGTAATAACACGGAACCGTATTCATGTAGTTTTATGTAAATTTCTGTAGGTGATAAAGATTTGGCGACACTGTATTCAGAGCACTGTGAAAAACAGGGCCGATGTATGAAGGCTGAATGGGGAGAAAGCAGCCTTATCTGTCATGAGGTGTCACAGAGGAGAGAGGAGGGGTATCAGAGGAGTAGCAGTGGACAGCGCTCACTGTTAAAGTCCTGTCAACTGTGTACGTGCTCATCATCATCATCACTGTCATTTTTGATGCTGTGGAGGGGAAAGGCCAACCCGGAGCTGCCAATCAAACCCACCTCATTAGGGATAGTGCTAATTATGAAATTTTCTGAGAGGGCCGAAGATAATAACTCTCTCTATGTCTACTACTATTGCTAATATTTGTGCACAAACCTCAAAAATCCAGAGCTTTGTGATATTCAAGATGCCTGCAAAGGTTTACAAAAGTACAAATTAAGGCAGAAATAAAAAGGAAAAAAGGCAAAGAAAATTTGTTTTCATAATATGTGGAAATACAAGAAAGAAATAAACTGTAATAATACATTATTGTATGATGCAGGACTGTGCAAAAGTCCGAACAGAGACATCACTGATATCATTTCCTGCCTAAATTGCCTTTAAGTTATTAAGTTATTAATTTTCAGGAGATATTTCTGACAAGATTAGACATAAAATAATCCACTTGCATAAAGAAAGGGGAAAGTAAAAGGAAAATAAGTGAAAACTGTGCAAGACCTGGTAGATAGAAGAAAATCAAACCCCACTCCAGTTTCAGATCTGAAAAAAATCCACAGGTGTTTCTGTCCAGCCTCCCACTCTGAGAAAACAACGCTATGAGTCTGAAAGGACATGTAGCTATCAAGAAGCCTTACTGAGAAAAGGAAGAAAGGAAAAAGAAGAAATTTGCTCTAGAACATTAAAACTGGACATCTGAGGGGAGAAGTAAAGTTTTATGTATTGATGAGTCTAAATTTGTAATTTGGATTACTTGAATTGCGAGTAGCAGAAAACACAACCAACTTCTAAGACTGAACTTTGGAGGTGTGGAAAATATCCCTGCAGATTTCTATGAAAAACTGAAAGCAAGCCTCTTGAAAAGAATGGAAGAAGCAATTGAGACAAAGCATGAACACATTAAACACTGAAACATTTTATGTTATATTTATTTGTTGATGTTATATTTATTTATTACATTATATTTAGGTGTTGTGTAATTTATGTTAAATTTTATATTTCTGCTTTTTTCCTGACACTGAAAAATTAACAATTGTACTTACCAGCCATTTGACTGGAAATTCAATAAATGAAGGGTGTTTTCTGACTTTTAGAGTAGTTTAAATATACGGTTGCTGCTGTAACAAAAAGTTGTATCCCCAAAATAATAAGAGAAGGAGAAGAAAAAAG